AGTTAACACAACAAATATTCAACGACTGCAATTATTTTTTAAATTCCCAACCATTACGACTGCTGGTCACTGAATAAATACTAACTTATTAATTAGATCAGTGAATAAATACTAAATTAATTATGCCACCAATAATTGCTTTTATTTTATTTTATTTTTTGAGATGAAGTCTCGCTCTGTCACTCAGGCTGGAGTGCAGTGGTGCGATCTTGGGTCACGGCAACCTCCACCTCCCAGATTCTTGTGCTTCAGCCTCCTGAGTTGCTGGGATCACAGGTGTGCGCCACCACACTCAGCTAATTTTTTTATTTTTAGTAGAGACAGGGTTTCACCATGCGGCCCAGGCTGGTCTCAAACTCCTGATCTCAGGTGATCCGCCCGCCTCGGCCTCTTACAGTGCTGGGATTACAGACATGAGCCACCATGCCTGGCCCCAGTAATTGTTTTTAGAATTCCAAAAATGGATATGGCTAGAAAATATTTTTTGGAATTAGGAAAATGTAAGCAGTCTTGAGTATGGTACGCAATTTGATTATGTGATAAAGAATCTTGGTGGGTGAAATGGCAAGAGGAAAATGCAGCTGGGATAGGGAGGAGAACATAGGTAGCTGCTGGCTGCAAACTGGAAATTCTCTGGACTAGTGGGTGGGTGATCAGAAATAAGACTGAAAAGTTAGTTGGTAGGCTGTTTACAGCAATAATATTCCATTTTACGGGTTCTGCAGAGGTGCCATAGAGTCCCCCAGGATGGGGGCGTTGAGAGGAGGCTCCATTTAAGATCTTTTCTCCAGATTCAACCAGAGCACTTATGCTCTCATCTGCTTTGTTTATTGGACTTACATGGTAAGACAGTTAAGAAATGATATCACAGCTAAGAAAACAACACGAAACACCAATTTTAACACACCTCTCTCAGAAAGTAATAAAGCATCTTTTTTTTTTTTTTAAAAAAGATGATAACTTTAACAAGACTATACTCAAAATAGTAGATATAAGATAACTCTACACCTGACAGACACAAAATGCAGATTTTTGCAAATCACACACAGACCAAGTACAGAAACAGACTGCATATTGGGCCATAAAAGAAACTTCAATAGCTCTCAAAGACTCAATATTACACAGGCTGTGTTCTTGAAATATAATGCAATAAAACAAAAAAATTATAAATTAACAATAAAAAGATAACTTTAAAAACCTCAGGTGTTTAGAAATAATATTAGTAAAAAACCCAAGATTTTAAATAGAAAATTAAGAAATACAGTATTCACAATTGAATAAAAATTATAATTCTAGATGTCAAACTCGGGAGACACAGCTAAAGAAGAATTTAGAAGGCAATTTATAATTTTGAAGAATTTACCAGAAAAGAAGAAAAGTTAAAAAAAAAGCATTATAACCAAGAAATTGGAAAAATAGCTACATAGCAAATACAAAGAAATAAGAAGACAGAAAATAGCAAAGATAAGGGCATCTGCTAATGAATGAATATAGAACTATCACCAACAAACAAATCAAAATAAAAATACATTCTGAAGTTCAATGAAATTAAAACCTACTTCTTGGAAAACATTAATAAGATAGGCTCTTTAAAAACTTAATGAGAAAAAAATAGATGATAAAAATAAATTACAAAGCTGCATACAGTGACTCACGCTTGTAATCCCAGCATTTTGGGAGGACTGCTTCAGTCCAGGAGTTTGAGACAAGCCTGGGCAACATAGCGAGACCCTGTCTGTACAAAAAGTTTGAAAAGTTAGCCTGGCATAGCGGCACGCACTTATAATTTTGGCTACTCCGGAGGTTGAGGCGGGAGGATCATTAAGTCCAGGAGTTCAAAGCTACAGTGAGCCATGATTGTACTACTGCACTTTAGCCTGGGCTACAGCATGAGACCCCCATCTCTAAAAATAAATTTTAAAAAATTACAGAACTAAAAGAGAAAAATAACTGCAGACAGGTTTTTTAAATAAAATTATGGACAGTACCTCAATACAAACTGTAAGTTGGTACATTCTTAAATCTATATGATGTAGCTACATTTCTCAAAAAAGTTAAAACACAATATTTAGTGCAAGAATAAATGTAAAACTGTGATGAACTAGTAGCTATTAAAGACATTGAAATGAGGCTGGGCATGGTGGTTCATGCCTGTGATCCCAGCACTTTGGGAGGCTGAAGCATCCCACATTCTGTGGCAGAATAGAAAGGATAAGGGTTAGGGTCACAATTAAGTTCAAACACAAGCTAAGACAATATCTCTGATTCCTTGGACAAATTACTAAGCCTCTATGAACCCAGTTTTCTTATGTAAAATGGGGTTGTTACCCTAAAAGTGGATGTTTCCTAAAAATGCCTGGGAGATAGGAGTCCAAATAATGTTAGGGGAAACAAAACCACATGATTTTTGTTTCCATGATATAGTTATGTTGAGGTTTACAGTTAGTCTTAAGTTGGTGACAAAGTTGCTCTTTTCTATTTAACTTTTTGTTTGTTTTAAGAAAAATGGAGACTTAAGAAAGAAAGCAGTTTTGCCCATGATGGCATGAAGAAAAGCCACACAGCCCTCTGGTGGGAACCATTAGAGGAAGAGACTAACATTGTTCTCCACCGAGTCTCTTCTTTGAGGCAAGGAGAAGACCCTGGAACATCTGCAGGTGCAGAGAAATGCCACCACTGGATCAAGTGTTTGTCCCGTGATATGTAGGCCACTGAAACAGCTTTACAATTGTGTGCTAGTAAAGTGTAGAATCAAAACCCTTTCAGTAGTTTCTGTTTGCGAAAATAAAAAAGTTCTGGAGATGGATGGTTGCACAATGTAAATGTATTTAACACTGAACAATACACTTAAAGATGGTAAAATAGTAAACTTTGT